AATAAAGTTTTAATAATAATAATTCTAATGAGATTCTTTTGAGTAAATATCCTCCGGCTCCTGACATACTCACTGAACTATAGCATGATAAAAGCCACTTATTATACACACCTATATTATACACCAATTAAGTATAAAGCTTGGTTCACACTGGCAATAGACAACTTGCATGTTAGATTAATTTTTTATTTAGGCGGAAAAAAAGTAAATTCCCGTAAAGAACTTATTAAAATCAGTAAAATTGCAAACTTTGGTTGCGAAATGTGGTAAAATACAGAAAATATAGCCTTGCGAAGTTTGCATACTTTCAGTATGTTTGTATTACGTGCGGAAATGGTAACAATTTCCGCACATAATACAAATATACTGACAATATGCAAACTTCGCAAGGCTATATTTTCTGTATTTTACAACATTTCGCAACCAAATTTTGCAATTTTACTGATTTCATTAAGTTCTATTTAGCTGTGGTGTTTGATTCCCTTCTCTTTACTTAGATTAAAATTTAGTCTAACATGCAAGTTGTCCATTCTGTCGGCCATTTTTCTCCTGCTGGCAAATGCATGTGATCGAATCATGATCATTTGCATCCATCAGAAACACAAAATCGCCGACAAGATTGGTAGTGAGCAGTCTGAACCAGGCTTAATGCAACAAATTAAGCAAAGAAAGGCTGCCATTGAACATTGTTGGCTACGTTTAAACACTATATAAAAACAGGGAGCCCATATCACCGAAATGATTTTCACTAATTTAATACAGTTTTAGACATTATATAAGACATAATGGCGGTTGCACGCAAGACATGGTAAAGCTTGTATTTTGGCGTTGGCTTGTGTGAGGTCTAAATTCTAGAACTCCCATAAGACTATTAGAGTATTAAAACTAATTATTCATTTATTTTGCTCTTATGATAATTTCATTATGTTGATGGGGCGTCGTCTTTGACTTCGCGCGTTGGCTTCTGCTTGCTATATAATTAAGCTTCCCAGGAAGTCAATCAAGTCGTATAAAAAACTAAATAAACTTTAAATATAGGTAATTCCTTCATATTGTCTTGTATAAAACGATTAAAATCTTATATCAATAAATTAAAGCATAAAAAGTCAATAAGATGAACTAGAGTTCACTTGCTAATTATTATTTACTTTACTCGTATAATTCGGGCGGTATTAGAATTCGCACAATTTGCGCAAAAAGCATGGTTTGCTAAAATATGGACAAAAAATTAATCCGCACGCGTAGTACTTTGCGACCTTGACGCACAATACTAGTAATTAGAAAGCCTCATGTATTTGCAAGCCACATGTATTATCCGACCTATCCTGTTTACAGAGACTAATTAGGCCTTCGTTCGGACGGGTCTATACAATTGATCCCATGATTTGGTCTGTTACTTCAAAATATTTGTAGTAATCCTGCTAATTATCATAAGCAGCGGTCTCTCTTTCAGTTGTTGAACGTGACTGTATTGAAGCCGCCTTTTGGGCTTGGCTTTCAATTTGATGGCTTAGTTATAGTTAATTTACACTATATATGCGTTTCCGGAGTCTGATCACAATGGCTCTCACAGCAGCAGTATTGCTTTACACGCCGCTATCAAAGTTCGTACACAAATCAAGTTTTTTTGAACCAAGGAAACCAACCCCGATTGCATAGGTGAAAGGGACATGTCTTAGACAGAAACACGACTCAGACAGGACTGGCAGAAAATGTTGTTAGCTAACAATTAGTTACACGGTCATAAAAAAACTGTCGAATGGCCCATTACTCATTATAGCCATCAATATTGTTTAATTAGTAAAATATTGCTAATTACATGGTCATGTTTATCATTGCTGTGAAGTTTAAGTATTTGAACTTGGCAATGACGTTGGTTAACTGGAAAGACATTTGGACAATGCTAATTGCTGACCTGCGGTGTTTCGTAGAGTCAAACTGGACTGTTCTCACAAGCGACAGAAGAGAAATTTTAACCAGCCAACTGCATATAAAAGAAGCAAACCTCGGTAACAGAAGGTGCAGTGGCCTAGCCAGAGTATTGACTTTCGAGGGCAAAGCAAACATAAATTCCGAACACGACCGCCAATGGCGCGAGAAGCCTAGGGGAGTTCGTGGGAAATTTTGAATTTCTCTGAGATCTCTAGGAAATACAGCATTTCTTGCATCGTGAGACGAGTTTTACTATACCATATTAAAAACTATACCATATTTTATTGTCAATATTGCAGCCACCATCCCACTTTTAGCCAGCGGATTTCAACTTTTCACAAGAACAATTCTGGAGGTCATTGGGAGGAGGGGGGAGGGGCACAGAGGAGGTGAGGGCACATATACATAGGCTACACTATAGCTTCCCGACGGAGGGCCTTTGCTCAAGAAGTCCAAGTTCTCCTTGTATTTTTCAGGCAGTTGCATCCATATCAATTCGAAGCTTTCGCACATATACTAGCTACTGTTACCAACACCCCAGCTATGCATTTTCTTATATTCGTATAAAAATCTTTGCGACATCTGGACTGTATCGTCTAAGATCTTTTCAACTATTGCATGGGTGAGAAATACTCCACGTTGAATGTCAAACACGATTAAAAAATTGTTATCATTCTTAACAGCTTTATCATTCAGGTCCTCATGACAAGTGTGCAGGTTAAAATCCTATACATCATTCTATCATCGTAAACGTGCAGCTAGCTAGTTAACCCCTCTAATGACAAATGTGCTTAAAATCACACTTACATATTTCTCTCACTGAAAAAAAGCCTTGCCATTATCTGTATAGACCGAAGTACACTGTAACCCTTTAGCTCATGGCAAAACCACATGCATCATAATAAAACATTGTCTTTACCCCTGCTGGCCGTGGTTTCTGAGCTGAGAGCTAAACTCAGCTCAAAATCTATGCCTGCATGGTACTGTTGGTAGAGTACATTCTTTGACAACTGCGTTGAAGATGGCATTGTTTGAAACAGCTTAAAATTGCATCCATGCAGAAATTACAGACTGATATATTACAGTGGTTATTCTATTAGTTCGTAGATAATTCAGTTCAGTGAAACAGAGTCAATTGCCTGCACAGTAGATGAAACTGAATTGTTCAAGTTAGCCGCGGGGGTTCAAATTAACGAGGTTGGTTTTGGAATTCGTTTGTTATGTGAATAATGAATAAGGTCTAATCGTTTTACTATTCATCACAATTTTGAGCCATTACGGCGCACTCTAAAGAAATTCAACAGAGTTTGTACTACCCTTACCTAAGTTAAACAGTCCTACCAACAGTACTTATAAGCTAGATCATTACTAATGATCGACGCAACTTGTTGAACCTTTCATCTCTTTATCGACTTGTATTACGATTCCATATATTATATACCGATTAAATTGTCGTTGTCTGAATAGTAATCGAAGCTTCCGACTTGTCAATGTGCTATGATCTGACATTTTGAGATTTGCCGATCCATGCACTGACGTCTCAAAAATACAGTAGTTGAGGTAACTGGGTCATTAATGATCTAGCTTAAATTTGTTCAAGTTAGCGAGAAGTTAGGCCAGGGGAAATTTGATTTAATTCGAGTTAGCGGGGCTCTGATGTAGTTCATAAATCTCACAAATACATCTTCGAGAATGTTGTCAGTAAAAATTAAATCTCTCACTATTTCACAATCGTTACATGAAGTCCTGTCGAGTGAAATAACCCAAATGAACTAATTTACCTGTTTTGCTGTAACTAGTATTGTCAGTTCTCACGTCAATTATAAATTTGCAACATTTACGTGCCAGTTCAGTTGCGCATTCGAATAAGAACGCACCTGCATAAATTGCGTCGAGTGTAAGCCACTGGCCTATGTACATTTCCGGATCTGATTGTCTCACAAGGATTTTAATAACATTGGGCATTCGTTGAACACATTTACAATGCCGTGCGTAAATTCATGAAAATGACGATACACCCTTCTGGAAATGCGTCACTTCTAAGTACCATTATAACTACTTTGTCCTTTAAAAACGTCTATGCATGTTCCAGAAAAGGTCATCGGTTTTTATAAGAAAATAATGACCTTTTTTTCTAAGAAAGTCACATAATTACATAGATTAGATTACTTTTTATACAAAATCATGCTCTATCATGCGCACTTTCATGCTTTTCGTGACACATTTTGTAAAACACTTGTAATTTTCTCGCATATGTCTACTGAGGTTATCACTGTTCTAGTAATTTAAGCATAGAATGGAAAGCATAATTCCAAGTGTAGTTCCTACAACCCAACTTGTTGCCCTTAAAGGTTAATTTCAAGCACTTTTCATGTTAATATTTGTTCAAATATATCAGTGTGTTAATGTGGGTTTGTGTCTTTAAATATATGTTATAACTACTGTTGTCTTTCTTGGGTTGGTCTTAGTATGGGATTCTTGTCCTGTTGACTATACCTTAAACGGTTAAACCTCATTTTTCCTTTATCTACGTGTATATTATATTTATTATTATCTATTTGTTTCATGAAAAAGGTCGTAAAATTAAGAAATGATAAATAAACAAACAATATGGTGCTATTTCCATTGTTTTGTCGTGAATTATTAATGAGTTTTAAAATATCATTTCCTACAGAAACTATAATCATAATGCTCACTATCTGTTTTAAAATCCGTGACCGGATTTTGGCTTGTTTCGGGAAAGCGTGCAGGCGGAAAGCAAAGCAATTCACGACCAATCCACTTAGAACTGTCAACATAATCAGGCATTTAATTAAGTGAAATAAACCTATCTATACCTCAATAGCCTAATACACTTTTTATCGCTTTAAATCCTTATCAAGCGCAAAATTCATGTTCCACCCCACGCAATTAATGACCCGCAGGGCGCGCGACGGATATACGAGAAATGTACAGGTCTGTCATGGACATTCAGTAGTATTCCCGGCATGCATTTTATGCCGTGCGTCGTATATAAAGGCTTTGCGCACTCGACGCAGCAGCAGATTCGCAAAGTTTTTGGTTTGCGTCGAGCAGTTCCGAAAGCAAATACAACTAAAGTCCGAGAAGAAGAATACCAAAAGATCATCCTTTGAGGATTAATAAACCATACATCTAGATCAGACTCAAGCATCAATTTAAAGTAAGTGAATTTCTTATGGTGATTAAATACTCGATTTAAGACAATAACAACACCTTCCAACTGTATAGCTCTATTAATTCTTAATTCGTCTCCCTAAAGGTCCAGCAAGGAACATCCCTAATTGATATAGTGGTAGTATAGTAGGAAACCGGGGAAACCTGCCGCGTTTACAGGACGAACGCTGGATTTTTTCACCAGGGGGCCAGTAACACCTATTTTCTGAAATAAGCACCCAAATGTGAATGCATTCAGAGATGTATATCCATATCCTAAAGATGCACGATTATGCCCACGTCATAACGAATCATAATTCTGATTCACAAGATTATAAGCGCCATGCATTTGGCAGTTGCCTTGTGCTGCCCCCCGCTGTGTGCGGCCGAGTTTGGTAGAAATGAAAGCGACAACAAACGACAGAGACGAAATTGATAATAATAATAATAATAGAGTTTATTTACCACCTTTGGCAAATGAATTACAGTGGTACTACAAATTCAGAAAGTATTAAAAATTTACAACAATATTTAAGAAATATAAAACTTCATCGACTATAATGTACATTTTACTGGAATGAGAAGATAGCTATTATCTATGTATACAAGTAAGACTATTTTAGTTAACTATGTTCATTAAAATAATTCAACCAGGCAGCTCTCGGTATGAATGACTGTTTAAGTCTATCTGTAAATGAAATTGGTGCCAAAAGTGGGTTACAACCTGTCCTTAAATTATATTCATGTGCGTTAGTTCTACAAATCAATCTTTTACACGAGTGATTTTCTGAATTTAGTATATTATCATATTCTTTACTTGTTACATAGTTTCTTCTTGACGCAAGCGGCTCAATTTTATTTCTCGGCTTTATTTTATTTATAGTCTCGTCTTGACGCAAGCGACTCAATTTTATTACTTGTAGTAGTCGATACCCACAGCATGCCCCCACCAACACCATATTTCTTACTATGGTGATTAAGTATTATTCAAAATAGCAATAACATTGGTTTAATATAAAATATACATCAACCGTTGGCTATAGCAAGCTTTTAACCTGCATGGTAGTACTTAGCCAATTGCGCATTTATCTTTTTAAGAAATCATTTTGATGTGAGCCTATCTGGGCTGGGTTTTAATCTGACCTTCTATTCATACTTCAGCGTTTTTTCACACGAGAACAAGGAACATGCACAATATTAAAAAGGGAACAAGGTTAACATGTACAATATCACAATTATATGTACCGGAGGAGTTTATGAGAATTGTAACTATGGGTTCCACAGAACAATTATTCGAGTTTCTTTGCGCTGGTTTGTTGATTAAGATGCATTAATCGCACTGATAAAACTGTATAATTCTTGGGTTGTGTTTTCTGCTCTTCGCTTCCGATGCATCGCTTTGGAAATTTAATTCAACTGAACATTTCATACAATGAGATCTTTTTTAATCATGAGAAGTTATGAGGTGCGAAATGAGCTCCATTTTTTATGACAATCGAAAAAATTATCTACCCACTACCTGCAGGGGTTAATTAAAATATTTTACCATTTCTGTTTTTTTTCGTGTATTGTGATAAATAGCATAGATGGCTAAAATATGGTAAGCCAAAAATGTGCTTATGACGATCATTGTTATTAGTGGCACAAAAAAATTAATTGTGAAAAGTCAGATTATACTTTAAAGGATTATATTTGGATTATAAACTATTTCATATGTAATCCTGTTATATATATACACGTCTATAGTGTAAAGCACGTTTACCACAAGGCGCATTCATTCGCGCGAAAAGACTTTTTCTTTGTCGGCATCGCTTACACGTCATTACTTTTATCTGGATGACCCAGCGCCTAATTCCAACAGCCCCCCCCCCCCTGATTCCAAGGTCCCCAATGGTGTAATGATTGCTCTATTAGTTTTGCCAGTTCCTTCTGTTGCTAGAAGGGAGAAAACAGAAGTGTCCGGGGAGGGGGAACTTGTACTGTTTGCTAGAGTTACTAGAGTTACTTGGAAGGTCTCTTTTCGCATGCGATTGAAGAGAAATCCGACAACTGCTTATTGAGAAATCGACCCCCCACACCCCCCCCCAACCAGCCAAGAGCACATGGATCAACCGCTGTTACCACCAACACTCCTCTATTATCCAGATCAATGAGCGCAATTTTAAAATCACGTGCCGCAGAATGCAAAAAATGTTCAAACTTCCTCCGGGTAAAATTAAATTTCAAGTTTTAATGCAAATTTTGGCTTTTGAAATTTGCAAAATATAAAAATGTTGTCATTCAAAATCGGCATCTTATTCCTATTTCCTGCTGACTATGGTCTTGGTCGGCTGGTTGGTTACATTGTACTCGCATACAAGCAGTAAATGCTGGCGACCTCTAACAGATGTATGTTACGATTGCTACAGAACCGCCGGCCCCCTTCAACCCAGTGAGTGAACCTTCCTCGCGGGTGGTACCCCCATACCTGCGGCTTTTTTGCAACTCTGCGTGACCGCCCAAGTGGGCGAAATAGGAACTTTTTAGTCATGAAAAAATGACAGCTTTTGGCCGCTACCTTCATCCCTTCGGAAAACATCCTGTCCATATACTCACGCTGATATCTCTAGTGACAGATGCAGCATTAAGGTTACAACCTTACATGCAGTGCAAGTGGATTAAAATATGTATTTTTCAACGTTTTCCCAAAATAGCATGCGATAGAGGACGTTTTTCGTGAAACGATTACGCATACATTTTCAAGAAAAAAAAAACAACAAAAAAACAAAAAAAACACTTTTGAGTGAGTTGCTAATTAAACCTCGATTAGATAGCTATAAATAACTTGAAACGATCATAATAATTAAACTTTATTTGAAGAAGGTGTGTATAATACATATATAGCACAAATTCAAAGAACTACATGAACTACATTATAATTGTATCTAAAAGTGTTTGTAACCTCTTGTTCAGTTAAAGGTATTAAGTGATGTTGATTGTCTTATCTCAAGTGGTAAACTATTATATAAAGTTGCACCACTGTCCGACTGACTGTATAGCAAAGCATCAATTTTAGCAGTTCTGGAATTTTTGGTTATAAAGATGTTTGCAAAGTGATAGGCCATCCCACGCGTAGATGATCAAGTTTAGTTATCAGAAATCAGTCTAAAAATACTTGAATTATCTATCCATCGCCCATCGGCATTGCCATTGGTTTTTTAAAATTCTTGAACTCTTGACTCCCGAATTTTCAATGCCATAAAATATGGGTCTGAACAACCTGTGTATCGGTTGACCTCTCAAAAAGAACTACCTATGGCTATGTATAGATTGTATGCCTTCGACTCTAAATTAAGTTGCCGTGGGGTTTGAACTACTTGAAAAGGATTAAACACATGGTCTTCGACGTTTCGAAGGACTGCCTTTCTTCAAAGCCAAAGGCTGTCGTCTGTCGAAGCGGTTTGTTCAAAACGACCTAATGTTTTGAATATATTTGAGGTAATTCAGACACAAACCACGGCAGCCTAAAATATATAAACATTGTAGTAACAGAGAATATTTCCAAATACCTTGAACAGTAGACGGATGGGTAGAGCCAATGGCAATGAACCACGTCCACGGCCGCAGAGAGTAGAGTGTTATAAATCACGACTCAACTCAACTTAAGAATGTGATGTGGGTTGCTTGAGAATTATATGACTCATATTATTATTGGATTCACAACTTTATTAAATGTCTGAAGCATGTTTACCGGCTTTGTTAGGTTTCTGTTCGCCCAAAAGTGAAGTGATGAATGTGACAGCCAACATCGCCCAAATGCAAAAAAATAATTTGAATATTTACATGAGCGATAACGCTATTGAGGCAGCGTTTACACTGTACCGTTTTCGTAGCGTTCTCGTATTGTTCTTAATCCTCAAGGGAACGCAAGACATAGTCTAGTTCTCTCGAACAATACGAGTACGCTACGAAAACGGTACAGTGTAAACGCTGCCTAAGGATACTCCAGGGACAATAAAGTATTCATTTTTCTCGCATGAGGGTGCAGGGCCGTAGATTTATATTGTTTTAAATTCCCTTAGGCTTAGGCATGGACAACAATCCAAAACGAATGTAAAATTCTTCTATAGAATTATTGCATATAGGATTTCCCTATTCCGGAACACATGCAGCTATTTAACACTTAGACAACGAGGCCGAGTTGTCTTTGAGCGAATAGTCAACGAGGCGAAGCCGAGTTGACTATTTGCTCATAGACAACGAGGCCGAGTTGTCTAATTGTTTTAGTATAAACTTTAACATCAATTTACAACTACATGTAGGCTGCAGACACAATACAAAAATATACACAAAAACCATTAAATGTAAACAAATATTTTAGTTTATAATATTTTAGTTTAACAATATTTTGTTCTAATTACTAATGTTTGACCATATAAAATATCTTGTTCTAATTGCTGAATTTGTAACAACGGCGAGGAAGCTCTTGCGATGGCTTCCTAACTGATGTCGAGCAATTCCAACTTCTTTACTATTGAAAGACTATTATAAATATAGGTACATGTGAACTGTAGTCTTAATTAACTTAATTTTAAGTTTTTGAAAGACTTTTATAATAGGTAGATTGTATTATAGTTTTGAACAAACTTATTTTATATCTATTTTATTGCTTGTATTTTTTATCTAGAAGTAGAGTCTTATTAATATTATAGCCTGCGTAACAGTCGCTTTATTTTTTAAGGTTTTGAGGATATTTTTATTTGAGGATCCTCAAATAAAAATATCCTCAAAACCTTAAAAAAAAAGCGACTCGCGCAGGCTATGTCTTATATGCACTGAAATGTTTTACCCTCTGTAAAGATTTTGTAATATATAAATAACAAAATTATCCACCAAACCCAGCATTCAAATTCAACCAAGTGAAGACTGAAGTGTAAAAAATATCTTTCAGCGCGATATAGCGATACCGACAAAGGGAAAAGTCGCTTCACGCGAACAAATTAACCTCTCAAGAAATTATCCAACAATAGTCTATACCTAATCTTTCCTTTTAACATTTCCTTACAGATGAATACCAAGCAATTTCTCACAATCGTCACCATTCTTTCGATGGTGTTTCAGTCCCAACAAACGTCTCCCACATCCAGCGCCTTGAACACATGTTTAACCAAGTGTACTAACAAGTACACAAGTTGTAAAACTACTGCAAGTAACCCAACCCAACTAAAAAAATGTGTAACGGCCCAAACCAACTGTAACAATAAATGTGTGAAGAACGGCAAGGTCAAACGAAGTGTATTATGGAGATTATAGCAAAGAACACTTGAGCGACTTCAAGATGGTGCAGATATTAGAACATTATAACACCAAAAATATACATTCAGGAAGGCAAATTAGTCATGCATGTAAATAGGTATTTTACTCACTGATCTCTAGACTAGACTGGATAGAGGCCAGAATTTCGAGTCAATTTCGAGTTGGGACAAATCAATTAGCCATTCTGAAGTTGATGAGTGGACTGGGGACGAGTGCCCAAATTAAGAAATTAACCAAATCACTAAAAAGACCACCTCAAAATTAGTAAGTATACGAAGTTTGAAAACATTTACATGAATACCCTTCGAATAAAAATATTCAAAAACAAAAATTACAATACATTTCATAGTAAATATCGCGATTTTCGAAAGCTTATTATTCGAAGGGTATTCATGTAAACGTCTTCAAACTTTGTCTACATACTAATTTTGAGGTGGTCTTTTTATTGATTTGGTTCATTTCTTAATTTGGGCACTTTTTAACACTCGTCCCCAGTCCACTCATCAACTTCGGAATGGCTAATCTATCCATTTCTAGCTTTGAGATCAGTGGTTTTACGAAGCACTATAACACGGAATAATTACATACAGAGGTTTCACTTCTGCGAAAAAAACCGTAACTCCGTAACGTAGTTTTACTGCGCATATCTGGCGTTCATATTCTTAGTAAGTGCCCTAAAGAGACACATTCACCCCCCGGAACATTAAATTTCAATATGTTTTCAGGGGGTGACGGCCTCTCTTTAGGGCACTTGCTATTAAAGAACATGGCGGACTGGGGATTAACCTGAAGTGAGACCTCTGTATGTAATTACTCTGTGACTATCTAATGTATAACTCATCAATATTTAAGAAAATGTACTGGTATCATTGGCCGGAGAGAGAATCGTTTAAGAACGCTAGACTAATAGTACTTCTGGGATATTGTTGTTAAGAACGTATAAATTTGGTGGCACTGAAAACTACGGTAGTCAAATGCATATTAAAATAATAATTGAAATATCAAAGTGTATTAATTATTGATGTTGTACTACATGTATACCATTTTGCTCTTTGTCACGAGAGACAAAAAGAACGGACACTTCGCGAAATATTGGAGGCGAATTTAGGTTGCTAACATATGACCACCGTTCGTTGTTGAAAATCTTAGTTCTTTAACTTTTTTGCAATTTTTATCTACCTGAATATCAAATCATTCAAATATCAAATTATTACTTTGAGTGACTGAATGTGAAAACACCACCCACGCTACAAATCAGTAATCAGTAAAGGGTCAAACCTTTCCCACGCCCTGACAACGTTCTAATAATCCTCCCACATTGTGACAGTTATATTCGACCATGTGAAAGCGTCCAAATCTATCCTGTCTTGTGCAAATTATTCTTTAATTAATGACATGTTACATGGTAAATTTTGCAGCAACTTGTATAATGCAATTTCGGATAAAAAGCCATGTTCTCTAAAAAGCATTCACTTACAAAATTGTGAGCATGACCCGCATTCTACAATGCCGACCAGGGACGCCGGGAAGGGGGGCGCAGGGGAGGCATCGCCCCCCTTGCCCTTTAGTAAGGGGGGGGCAGGGGGTGCGAAAGTGCCCTTGGATAAAAATTCTAACCCAAAAAATATGAGGTACAACAATTAAAAAGTATGAATTGCAGGTGAAATGGACGTAATATTGAAATATACGTGAAATTGTCTGGAATATTGTGTGAAAAATTAGGTTAACTTCAAATTTTTTTTTCCCTTGTTTTGGTGAATTAAAGCCCCGTTTACACTACGTTCAATTTTTGGTACGGCACGGATAAAGTTGGTACCCGTACCACTTTTTTGGTTCATGGACTACCTATATTTTGAGCCCCGTTTACACTACGCTCGATTTTTGGTACGTACCACTTTTTTTGTTCTTGGACTACCTAAATAGGTAGTCCAAGAACCAAAAAAGTGGTACGGGTACCAATTTTATCCGTGCCGTACCAAAAACTGAGCGTAGTGTAAACGGAGCTTCAGGTTCCGGAAAAATTTTTCGGAAACGGAATATTAATTAGTGATTGCCCCTTACGTCAACAATGTCCGCTATGCCCTACCCCCGCTCCGGCGTCCCTGATGCCGACACTTTCTTTACACAACTTAAAGCCGATTTACACTACAAGTGAACTAAGTCACAAGTTGTGTGTTTGATTTACACAGTCTTACGTCTGGTTTCATTTATTCGCTATACGGTCTTAAAAATTAAACGGCCGATATATTCAAGTGTCGATATATCTGCATAGAATAAAGATCCATATTCAAGGGCACACTTTGAAGTTTCCGTGTCCTCGCGCATATATGTCGCATTACGCATGTTGGTCGCCATTTTCCTAGCCAGTCAATGACATTTTCTGGCCAATAAACACGCTGTACTGGCTGGCTGCTCCGCCATATTTTGCATAAAAAAAACGAGGACACGTTGCACCGCTGAGTGAGTTTTGATCTAGACAAACACTTCATCACAGCTTGAAAGAGCATCACAAAATTAGTAATATTCCAAAGTTTCGTTGCGAAATGTTATAAAATGCGGATAATATAGCCTTGCGAAGTTTGCAATTTTCAGTCATTTCTACAAACGGGAAATTGACGGCCCAAAGCCTTTGGGGCTGTCAATTTCCCAATACCCTTTGGGGCCTGTCAATTTCCTGTTTGTAATCTAAAGTCTGACTCTTCCACAGTCCCTAACACTGCTTCTAACGCAAAGGACCATGGGAATGCCCCGAGGCGTTTTATTCCCATCAATCAGCATGCGTTGGGTAATTCAACGCGCGCGTTACTGAAGCGACTGGGGACGAGTCAGATCTAAAATGACTGAAAATTGCAAACTTCGCAAGGCTATATTATCCGCATTTTACAACATTTCGAAACTTTGGAATATTACTAATTTTGTGATGCTCTTTCAAGCTGTGATGAAATTTTTGTCTAGACTTGTTTATATCAAAATTTAGTCTATTACGCAAATGGTCAATTGTTGCAATTTTGAAACATTGTGCCAAAATTTAAGACTTATTGTGAGTAAAATCGTCTGGCGTTGGACAAAGTAAAATAACAAGTACATTGTGGCTTGATGTGTTTGTTAATAAGATAGGCGTTTTCCTGAGAAAAACAGTCATCCAACTTGAAAACGTTTATCACAAGATACTGCAGCAAACAAATATATTTAATCATACAAATAAATTGATTATATCTATATAAATATTATCAATACTTACATTTTTTATATACATTATATTTATATTTATATTACAAAGGATACATCATCATGATTATATTAATAATGAAACAATGTCTTCGAAAATGTACATTTTTTGGAATCATGTTTTTTGGGCAGTGCAAAATGGTAACAATGTGGAAATAAATTACCAAAATATGAAATTTATGAAAGTTATATTATTGCTACCATATATGAAAATAATTTAAACATGTTTATATGAAGTATGAAAAAGGTGGTATATTCTGTACGTCTGTATAAACTGGAACAGAGTTTTTATATTCTACCAGATATCTGACTTCAGGTCATCACCTTTCTAAAGCCTTGGTTAAACAGGAGCTCGGCATGCAAAGCTAGCCTTGTTCTCATGCAGATATATATGAACCACAACAATTATATATAAATACATAATATCAGGTGGAATCTCAACAAATGGAAAACTAGCCTAGCTTGAGAAAAACTATTTCACTTTTCACCTGTCAACCTTAATAATTGCCATCCTTAATTTGGGGCAATTTCAATTTTTTAGTCAGTTACAAATCTGGTAGAACACCTACTCTGTAACAAAGTGCATGTAGTTTCTTTATACCTTCAACATTGCACCAGCATTCGTTATACCAATATCAATGTCCGAAGCGTTTGTCACATGTGTTTGAAGTTCGATATCCATTTCAGTGTTGAGGCCATTGTCATTCACAAAACATTCATTTGATGAGCTTTCAGGGTTTTCTTGTGCACATGAAGCATTTTCAGCCGTCATCTGATTGTTCTGAGCTGCAACAATAATTTGTTCGTCTTTATCAGCCGAAATGCTTTCATAATCTGGGGGGTTTTCTTCAGGGAGGGGAATAATTTCGGTACCCCTGGAAGTATCTGTCGGTACAAGTGGAATACTTGACATCCCCCTCTGCCATATACTTCTGGTTTCAGTATTAGACTGATGAAGGGAATCAGTTGAACGGTACCTTGGAGGTGGGATTCCGAACAATGATGCACTGTGGATACCACTTTGGGAGAATTCATCACCAAAGAAGTATGTCCCTCGGATAACCGAAGCTGGGGGTTCATCGTCTCGATCTGTGAAGTAACAAGGTGGTGGGCTGGGTAGGTCTGCATTTGGGGTTAGCGGTGATTGGTCAGTAACACTCAAATGCCGGTCACGTCTTGTTGTTGGTTCATTGTGTATAAGACACCTTCTGAAACAGATCAACCCAATACAGAACATAACTGTTGATGCACATATGGAGCCAATAACAATGACAAATACTTGAAGTTTATGCCACCTCTCTTGCATGTCGGAGCATGGGGTTTCGTCACTGTTGTCCGAGCACTGCATGGCGCCATCGCACTGCCACGCACATGGGATAACTTGTTTGTTATTGCATTCAAAACTCAGTTCCCTTTCTCGGACAAAACAGTTCGTTTTGTAACTGCTTGGAAATATTGAAGTGAAACTTGCTTGAAAACTGCTAGCCATACCATATTTAGAATTCATTGTGCGATACGTAACAACTAGTTTTCTACCTTTCGACATGATTATCGGAGGAGGAAGTTTTAAATTACAGTATGAAGTTGTCGTCTCGCCATCCCAGACTTCTAGAACATTGCCCATACACGACACACTGTCTGCACTTACTAAGTTAATATTTGAAAATGATAACGCTGCAATGTGTCCAGATGGCGCAGTTAAGTTCCAAGTCTGGCATGATGTTTCCTGTGATTGAAAATCTAATTGTTTGTTAGCAGTAATAACCTCACAAGTCTCTGTGTTATAAATTGCCTGGAAACCAATACCATTAGTTGAAGATGACTTAATGTGTATCCACAATTTAGTCGATGAGAATTTCTTTTCCATATTCTGAGGACTGCAAATTTTCACCAATTCTGGTGATTCAATGCTGTCCTCTTGCCGAACTTCAATGAAATTGTTATCACAGTTTAAACGGTGAGCGTGTAGAATTTTAAATTCAAGTGAGATTCCTTCTCCTTTGCCTGTGTCAATTACCCACTCACAATCTCCTTGTTGGGGGTATTTGGGGTAACCAGAGTTCTGAAAAACACCGCTTTTGGCTTTTAACACATGTCGGCAAGCTTTTGTTGACTGAAGTCTTTTGTAATGAACGCTAATAGCATTTTCTGTACTTTTTACCCTTATTTCGTTTCGAAATGGAGCTCTATATATCATCTTAATAGTTGATTTTAGTATAATGGTTTCCTTACTGCCTACACTTTTACAGAATTCATGCCAACTTTCGCCGTTAAGAAGTTCGGTGACAATTTCAATAGAATTTTCATTGGCGCATTGTTCATTGGATTGTTTTCGCCGTAAATTCACCAAAGTAAGTTCTGTTTTGTCGTCGAAAGGAGAGCGTATCAGAACGTTACACCGATTGGCAGTATAGTTCAAAGTCGTCAACGGGAAAACGATGTTTCCTTCAGGTTTTGTCCGTGTGTCAACCAGCGAGTTATTTGTACAAAAACTGTTGTGAAATTGGGACGCCGAACACGCTGGTAAAAATGCCAAAAACGAGATTAAGACCGAAATCCTTCCAAGCACTGCCATCTTTCTTTCCAAATCTTGCCAAGTCTTTTAAGGACTTGATAACTTTCTAACAAGCTTTATTGCTTAACTCTTTTCGCATCAAAGAGGCTTTCGAACTGAGAGAACTTTCGCACACCAAACGCTGAAAACTTTGATCAATGCCCGGAAGTTGCAAATGTTTACTAAAGTGCTACCGGAAATCTGTCCCACATTATACTTCCGCCAATGACGCATAATTCACATTCGCGTGTCATATTTCGGGGCGTGAATGTCGCCTGTTTTCGTCATATTTTGTGCAAGGTTACCCTTATTTCCTTTGCGGCTTCCTTGGCCACAAAAATACGAGATTTTTTATGTATTTATATTCAGAGAAAGTAAACACGGCTATTCCTTATTCGTGTCTCTACGTCATGTCGCGCACCATCAGAAAGCCTAAATATTTGTACGTACTTTGAACAAAAAAGCGGAAAACGCTAGTTGCGTAAATCTTGACAAAGTCTTCTTGTTATTGCTTCCCAGAATTTGAATTTTTTTATTTATGAGCAAACTTTGTTTGAAAACGAACACAATTTTAAAAGTGAAAACGAGAATTAGTTATTAGGAGAACAAGTAGTTGGGCCGGGCTTTTTTATACTACCATTAATTGTACTAAGGCATATTAACGAACATGTGTATAATTTAAGGAATTTTAAACAATTCGCTTCTTTTAAATGTAGAACTGATAGATTTGGTAATAGTTTTTTCCCTAGCATGATTAGTGTTTTAAACAAATAATTGTTCTTAGTTATAAGTTCTTATTTAATAATCTAATGATACATTGTAATATAGTTACTTTTAGTATTGTAATTCTCATTCAAATCAATTGTAAAACACATTGTAATTCATTTCCATGCGATGATGTGTTATTAAAATACCATTATTATTATTATAAGTTACACAGTATGAACTATGAAGGAGTTACATAACTCGAGTTTATATAATGGAGTTACGTAATTTTCGTTTGTATAATGACGTAATGTTATATAATGACGTAATGTTATATAATGACGTAATGTTATATAATTATGTTTTTTCTTCTTCTGATTTTCTCAGCCTCCTCCGCAGGTATCTCAGTAGGGGTCTTGGGAACGAGTTATGAATGTTCTGAGTATATGTACCCCAGTTATATTCATTTCACTGATGTACCCTCATCTGAAAATTAATATCTCATCCTGATTCGTTTACGTCCATCATCAGAAGAAAATCACAACAAAAATTGCAAATTTAAACCGGCCTTTACCTAATTTCATAATTAAGCTCGACCCCTATTGAGATGATTGCGGAGGATGGAAGGTTTCTGTGAGTTCAAAACTGTGTCGGTTATATATTGAACTATAATGAATATACATTCAATTTGAGAAAAGTTTGATTGTTTCTTATTTTACTTCTCGATAAGTTTTAAAGAATCAACTTCTGCTTTCAAAACTCGAATTTTCAAAATCCCGATTTGCAACTTTTGTCTAAAACTCGGTCGCATGCAACGATTGCAACCTGTTTACAACTTGAGTTGTACTGTGTAAATCAAGCACACAACTCACTTACGACAACGTAGGCAAGTTGTGTGTTTGATTTATACAGTACAACTCAAGTTGTAAGAAGGTTGCATGCGACCGAGTTTTAGGCAAAAGTTGTGTTAGTGTAAATCGGCCATAACATGTACCCATTACTGTCGGTTGAATATAAAGAGTGAACAGTCGCTGGCACAAACATAATTTACATTCTCATATTTGTAACAAGAATTTGAAGTTTTCAACTGATCAGCATTAGCAAATCAGTACGAGGCTAAAACACGAGTTGCCGTTCTGTTGGAAACCTCTCAAATGTCTTGTAAAATGATTTTCAAAAGCACTGATGTTGACAGATGATTAACTCACGGGGGCAGCATTTCAAAAGTTGGCAAAGCAAAACATAAACACGGCAGAGCCCCCACTGACATGTTTTGTGTCATTACATTGTTAAATATTAATTGCGTCAGTGAACAAGTTCAAACGTGGGCAACACGGTTTTACTTTCAACACTTTTGTGACGTGCAGCCACGCGACCGTGGTTAGCTGTTCTTGATGCTTTCCCAACACTATGGGAACACTCATCAACCATTTATTATGTTACAGTCAATTTCAGCTGACTTTTCATCGTAAGATTCCGAACTTCGTTCCGAACTTCGCAAATTCGTTGCCAAGTTCAAAAGTTCATAATGAAATTCACAAACAGGTTTGTAAACTGGGCATTTGATTGGCTGGTTTGATTTAATAGCCAATCAGAGGCTTTGTTTACAAACCTGCTTGTGAATTTCATTATGAACTTTTGAACTTGGCAACGAATTTGCGAAGTTCGGAACGAAGTTCGGAATCTTACGATGAAAAGTCAGCTGAAATTGACTGTAATAATTTAGAGCTTCATATGTCCCCTGTAAAATAAGTGACTGCTACCTCTCATCCTCGTTTGACAGGAGCCGGGTTAGAAGGTGGACGTTTAATAGGGGGAGCTATGCAGTATACTTTGAGTTGATTTAGTCTATTTTAGATGTAAAACAGTTGCTTTGGCGTTACGCAATTCCGCCGTTCGTGCGAATTCAAAGCGACAAAGGAAGTTGAAATACTTCAGCTTAATATCAAGTGGTTGATAAATAAATTAACTCCTTTAAAATGGATACGACTAAATGGCTAATCAAACAAATCGGCGATAGACAATTACAGGATACCGGATTTGTTAGTCACGAAATCAACTTTCGTGGTCCTCAAAACGCGGATACGGAAACGCGGACATGGAAGTAGTAGGATCGCGGACATTGAAAACGCGGACTTTAGAAAAAAACAACAAACTTGTACAGTTCTTAAAAATTGTCCAATCAGATACCTGGATTGGGAGAACATTCGTATAGCATATATTGCTCCATCGTACGCTTAAATAATTACAACTACGCAAGTTAATCGAAAATGTGAATTGATAGAAACGGACATAAAACATCAGTTAACTAATACCGCAATACCTTTTGTGATTATATTGAATGTCATTGAATCAAGTGCATAGTATTCATACCTCTGAATGCTCGGATATTTTGTCTTTCAAAAATTCCATTTCCACTCGACTTCTTGTTTGTTAAAAGTCTTGCTAAAACATTCCACTTTGTCTCCCTCCTTGAAATCATAAAAGTTTTCAAAACACAAACCACACTCCGTTTCTTTCTTCGCCACATCTGTGTCATCGTTGCCGCGCTTCATGCTTGATAGCTTACCTTTTAGAACGAAAAATTTCCTTTTACCAATGAAACTCAAATAAGGGCGGATTTCTTCTAAGTAATTTGCTACCAGGAGCTGACCTCAGAATGACATTTCGTCAAAACCTTTTTCTTCAAGATTAGTTTAAAAACAAACTTAGAGTAGGGTTAGGTTTGTTACTCTGAGGCCAGCGAAACAACCTCTTCCGTTATATGTTGGGATCCACTGTAACCTTGAGCTAACTGCAAACCTCGGTCAGAAGGTCTTAAATTTGATTGATAATTAACCTTATTGATCAACCCTAACCTTATTTATCAAGTAAATTTTCTCGGCTGCAGCAAAATATTTTTGGTTCCTGCAATTACTTGAATATATGGGCATGCTCGTTTAAAATATATAAATTAGCTAACGGTTGTTTTTACCCGAAAACACTCGAACGCACATGTCTATTGAGACAGTGGTACAAATTCGATGCTGACAATGGCTCAACTAGTATAATACTTCAATAAGATTACATTAGTGAACTTAAGCAAGCAACATTTTTGTCAACATCCGAAAATTAGTATAACTAATATTGGCGGCATCATAGCACTCGTTTAAGGAAGGAAAAATCTTTAAAAATCTTGTGTTTTGTCAGTTTTAATCCAGTCCCCCTCGGCAATCTGACGTCCGTGTTTCTTGCTTAAGCTCCCTATTGTAAGCCGGATGATGTACGATCGGAAGTTTGAAAATCCCATTGCTCTCCATGCTATCCAGGAATGCACTATTTTGACTCCCTTAGTATTTTGCAAAGGGCGTATTCGCCTATATAAATCACTAAGTCTATTCAAACATTTTCAAATCAGGGATTTTTACCTTCAAATATGACTTGATTATTCCTATACACTCGATACGTTTCTTTCCTCCGTAATTGTCCCTGTTTCACTCGACACCCGGCGACTGAAGCTTTTCTCTTGCCACTCAAATGGAATACTTGCAATACCGTTGCTTCACCTACAGGAATATCTTCGCGAAGTAATGGTAACTTTGCAGACATTTCTTCCTAAAGGTAGATCAATATCAAAATTCTGTCATTTCGGATTTACAATGAAAATTTAGTAAAAAAATTTGAAGTTCTACATCGTGTGATAATATATTCTGGTTAGAGCCGTGCTTGAGACAGATGAGAATTAAACAGACTCCCATGCGAACTCCATGTTTTTTACGCTTATTTTCACACTCTCGCTTGCTAGCACTCATGCAACTCGTTTGCTAACAGAATTACTTTGAAGAATTTTAACTGATATTTTACCACGACTTTCTACAAGGGATATTACCTTGAGAGTGTGCAATAAGCGATATATAACTTTTCCAGTGTGTATCCTGACATCCAATTGTTGTGCTAACTTTTGAAGATCTTTGGACACGCCCACATTGAAACAAAATAGCATACCTAAAATACATACTTATATGTTGGATATAGTGTTATAATCTGCTTTCCCTAGGGGGGCTGCAGGAGGAAACCGGAGTATACCCGGAAAAACCTTTTGTGTTTGTATAGGTAATAGCATGGTTTCGAGTGCAATTTGGAAAAAACATGCAGGAGTGAGTTTTTTAAAAAACTATCAAAATTGCACGAGTCCGAAGGACGAGTGCAATTTGATGGCTTTAAAAAACTCACGAGTATATGCTTTTCCAAATTGCACGAGAAAACCACGCTATTACTTATTAATAATATATAGATGAAAACATTTCCCCTCGATGACTCCTGCATAGTTACCTTCGCTACTTAAGCATTGTCTTCGTCGCTTGTGAACAAACTTTTTCAGTCTATGTGCTCGTTGCATTCTCAATTTTAGATTTCCCAACAATTTTCAAAACAAAATGCGCAAAAGTCGGCAAAAAATGAAAATTTAAAATATCAATATTTTCCCGCCATGTTGATTTTTCCGACTCGTGTCCAGACACTCTACTCCAGTGCAATTACAAATGTAATGGCACTCCTCTTAGCCAATCAGCATCAAGAAATTTTTTCATCTATATTATTAGGTAGAGTTAAACTGGAATCACTTTTCTTACAAGACATTGAGTTGAGATCATAATCGGACAACTTTGCACGGCAGAAATAAAACCACGCTCGCTGACATGAGATGAACAGAGCCATATTAAAACGTTCAAAAAATCCAAATGCTACCTTTAAAAGGTTCAAGTACTCGAATATCATTCTCAGTCACTGGGCCAACACCAGAGGATACAATCGACAATTTTGGTTTCTCAGCTTTATACGTTTTTATAGCGTCCAACATCGCTTCGAGAGAACCGTTTACATCAGCTGGAAAAGTAGATATAAATATAAATAGGACAGTTTCACCTCAGCAGTGACAATGTGGCTTTTCATCCTTAGATGCAAAATTGCAAAGAACGGTGTTACCAAGATTTCGAAGTTTTTTTAACACAAAACTATACCTTTGATAACAATATCTAACTTATCCGTATCATCATAGGATTTAGTAAAGTTCTTCATCATAATTTGTAGATCGTCCGAGTCAGACAAACTTGGGCCATAAGTCTTCATATTTTGTTGTTTGTTTTTACGATAGTTCACCACTTTATTCGCAATGTTCTAAAAGTCAAAATACAATTTAATTTAACACATGTTAGTAGTAAACATACACTTAAAAATACATCGAATTCAATGAATATCACACTTCAGAAAATCGGACTTTCGTGTTGTTGTTCACTTGCTTCAGATGTGTTCCAAAAGTTAGACCAACTTTATTTATACCGGAAAGCTCCATCACAGTGGCGGACACTGGGAACGGGGGAGAGGGGCGGGGCAATTTCCCCGAATCCTCCTTTAGGGGAAAAAGTGAAAAAAATCCATTTTGGAAAATATGATGGCAACCCAAATTCCCCCCTCCAATATTTCGCAAAATGGTGTTTAGACGAAAACCAGTGGTGTTTGACACTGTTTTGTTAAAACCGGAAGCACTCCTCCCACGAATCGAACCCCAAAAATATTAAATCCCCTTACTTCAGACTCGACTTCCAGTAACATTTCTCCAGCTTCAGGCAAATCTTTCCAACCTGTCACTTGCACTGGCATTGAAGGAACAGCACTGATTACAGCCTTTCCATTGTCGTTCAGCATTTGACGAACCTAGGCACATTTAAAAAACATGAGCCTGATTTATACTAGGTTATTTCTTTATTCTACAAACGCGAATCATGGGCGGATTTACTGGGGAAGTTAGGAGGGGGTTTAACCCCCCTACAATCTCTCTAACCCCTGTGTTATAAAGTGTTCAACCCCACCAAAACTTCGCTTCACCCCTCCTATTTTGTATGAAAATGTTTAACCCTAACGTTTAACATCTGCCGAAGCTCTCTCAATGGTGCTGCTTTCCACCCTTCCTTTTAAAAAAAAATGAAAATCCGCCCTTGACGTGAATGCGAAGTTTTGACGAATCATCTATCTGTAAAATACGTCATTAGACGAATTATCTGGAACACTGAGGAATAGTTTGTGCTCAAACAACAAAGAGGCCGTCGACTCCTACTGTACAACATGCTGAAAATACAACAACCAGATCTCCCCAGGCCTTTACACGAAACGGTGCATAGCACACTGCTAATAAACGACCAAGAGACCGAATGAAATCCCTGAAAGGTAAAGCAGGCTCCGAAGAAACATTTCTGTGAAAACTGAACAGACCAGCTGAACAGTGAAGAAGTTAACACCAACGAGTCAATTGTGTTACACACAAGTTCGAACTGTAAGTTAGCGTTGACCTACCTTTCCAGAACATGAACCAGCCACTACCACAGATCCTTTCTTTAAAACACCTCTTTGAACAAGAACAGTCGCGATGGCTCTGTATAGGAAGAATGTAATATACAAACCAGAAAATTTTCCCACCCACGCTACCGGTGTATCAAAATAAACGCAATTCATCTTTTGTGCTTAATAACTTTCGAAATACTATTTCTAGTTAAACGCTTTTAGGCTTACTTCAAAGCCTGTTCTTTTCTCTTTCAAACAAACTATTATCCTTGTCTCCAGTGCTAGTAATAATTGCACAGGAAAAGATTTAGTAAAACCTATCATTTTTAGTTGCTGTTTAATTATGCAAGTTTACTATGTTATTGTTTAGTCGGTTTAAATGTTAGAATTTTCTTCTTTAAACTTTAATGTTGTCGTCACTACATCCGGAAAACCACGTAAGAACAAATTAAAAGTATTTTAAAAGAGACCAGGTTGTTTGAAAATCCTAAACGAATGCTAAAAATCGTCAAAACATTTTGGTGTCTGAGCCAGAGTGTCATCGAATTGCGATGTAATGTAAACAGAAATTATAGCAAGTTCATGTCAGTCAGCTTAGATGGTCCAAGCCAAAATTATATCGCATTTGAAGTTTCAAACTGAGTTAAAAATAGTGGAAGAAAAGCCGTAATTATACTTATTGTTACAATCCATTTAATAAAATGCAACATTTTTTTGTTTTAATGAAAAATCAGTTATTTTCATGAGAACGATTTGTTATTCCATCTCAATTTTTTTAATCTCCAATCGCAATAACGTAAATTATTATTACCCGCGAACCAATGAGTCAAATTTAAGAAACAACCCACTGTTAGAAAGCTGAATGGCTACGCTTTAAAATGAATGTAAACTTTAACGTTTTCGTCCATTATTTGTTTAGCAATTTACATTTCAGTCGAGGATTGCGCTTTTTTTGATACACCCTGTATAACGTCAAGACGAGAGGTCGAAGTATTCGTCGCTACTTACACTGGGACCAACATTTAAGATTTTGTACATATAGAATAATAACTTATAATCTGCATTCCCTTAATGTTAGAACTTTCCAAACAGGCGGAACAGGATTTTTAGTTTGTACTGTACATCCTTTACAACAATCATTAATGTCAACATGTCAAAAACACCATACATAAAGCAAGAAACACCCCTGACGCCAGGCTTTTAGCCAAAAGGACATCCAGCCGTCCTGGACAACAAAAAATGGACGCCTACAGTAGGTTCG